CACGGGTGGTTATGGGGGCAACTCGGCGCTCCCATGTAACACCTCTCCTGCGCGAGCTGCACTGGCTCCCGGTGGTCTTCCAGGTACGCTTCACGGTATTGGTTACCACCTTTAGAGCGCTCCATGGCTTAGGACCCGGGTATTTACGAGACCGCCTTCTGCCATCGATAGCCTCCCACCGACCAGTACGCTCCCACAGAGAGTGGCTCCTCAGGGTGCCATCAGTCAAACAATGCCGACTGGCGGCCCCCAGGGGTAGAGCCTTCTCTCTGGGGGCACCTACTCTCTGGAATGAGCTGCCCCCGGAGATACAGCGGATCCCGGATCTACGCACCTTTCGCCGTGCCCTACCTAAAGACGTTTTTATTCCAACAAGCCGGGCTGGCCTAATTCTTTTAAATTGATTTAATTTTTAAATTGTTTAATTATGGGTTTTAATACAGGGGTGTTTTTAATTGTGGGCCAAATTAATTTAATCGGATTTTAATACTGTTTTTAAATTTTGTATTTCTTATGTTTTATCTGTTGGCTGTTCACCGCCCAGAGTCCTTCGGGAGAAGGGTGGTATATAAATATAAACAATAAATAAATAAATAAATAAATAAATAAATAAATAAACTTTGAACTGTCACTAAGTGAACTGTGTTGTCGAGGACTTCCTGTACCAGTATCTTTATTTAAAACTTTTGGATTGAGTGCAAAATGAAAATGTCCTCAATTCTAAACAGATGGGACTTAGAAGGGATTGTTCAAATTTAGATGAGCTCACTGGTCTTGCACCATTTAGCTGAAAATACAGTTCACTTCACTGCTTTGTTGCAGTCTTTGTGGATTTCAAATCATCTTTTGATCTGATTCCAAAGGAACAGCTATAGCAAGAACTCGAGGAATCTTCAATGGATAAAATATTCTCCTTCTTATTCAGACTATTCTAACACTTTACTGAAAGACAGAAGTTCTCCTTATAGGTATATTTTGGAGTTATTATCACTGAACGGGGGGGGGGGGGGTAAGGCAAAAGTACATTGTAGTCCCTTTACTTTTTAATATATACATTAGTTCAGACTCTCTCATTTTCTGATCATCATTCCCCAATGTTAGCAAGTTGTGCAATTCGAGCCTTGTACATTAATTTTGTTTATCCCACCTTTATTATTTTTATAAATAACTCAAGATGGTGAACATACTTAATACTCCTTCCTCCTCCTATTTTCTCTACACCTGTGATGTGAATTGAGTTGAGAAAGAATGAATGGCCCAATGTCACCCACCTAGCTTTCATGCCTAAGGTGGGACTAAAATTCAGTCTTCTGCTTTCTAGGCCAATGCTTTAATTACTAGTCCAAACTGGCATGATGTAGTAATTTTATCTGCCTCTCATGTGGGAATGAGAAGGACATTGAGGCATTGGCTAAAACAACATGAAATAAATTATCACAAATCTATAAAGTGCCAGTGTTTGTACAACAGTAGGTTATATAAACAGCAATTTAATGAGACCTCAGTTAGCAGGTATATATTAATATCTTGGGTGCAGTTCTAGACTTTCTTATCTTGGAACACACATTTATCTGTGTGGCCCAACATAGTCCTAAACCTAAACCTACGATTCTTCTAATCAAGGGAACACGTTTTATTCTTGCAGACTGCGAAGTTTTTCTTGCTAAGGTCATATTTCAGCTTATGATATTCCAAGATGCATCAAGAATGATGTTTTATAGTTAACAAATCTTTAATGGATGACCGGGCCTACTTCCAATTCCTTAATTTTTGGTTGAAACTTTTTTTATCTGTGGGTCTGGCTCAACTGGGTCTCAGATAATATTTTAAATAAACCTGGCTAACAAAAGATTAGCAAACTGTAGTCCTTAGGTTCTTCTTTGGAAAGTCTCTGTCCACTAGGGCTTGAAAATGCCATGAGTCACCTTGAACAATATTTTTGAGATATTTTTCAAACTAGAGTGTGTCCAACTCTACAATTTATCAGTTTTTCTCAAATAGGCATGTGCCAATCTTTTATCTCTGACATGTCTTTCCAGATTGCCTGATTTTGTACTATCATTTCTAGTTTCCATCCTATCCATAGTTGAGGTTTACTACAAATTTTGTTGATTTGCTATAAATTTTGTTGATTGCCACTATTTGTACCACAGTTACTATAATTATTTATTTTAGATAATTTTATTGCATTTAAAAGTTTAATTAATAATTACAGGTCTGTGTATTTTATTGTTGTGCTTTTTGGCTTATTGGTTGTAATAAAAGTTTTAAAATTTGACTTTATTTGAAGTTGAATATGAAAATATTTTTCTAAACAATAAATGAGAAATGTTTCCATATTAACCATACAAGGAGAATTATGTATTTCAAGAAACCAGAAAGGATGCGGTTTCTTTCTTTACCATCTTGTACATCAAGATTTACTGACATCCACTGTGTTTCAAAGAACAGTGCTAAGTGTAGGCAACCTGTGACGGAATGGGACAACGCACCACGACCAAATTGCTGCAGGAGAATTCACCAAATACAAAAGTTAAATTAATTTCAATGGAACCATGGCCAATATCAATAAAATAAAGCCAATCCATAAATACAAGGTTTACAATAATTCTGATGAAAACATGGCCACCAGTTATAAAAGTAACTGAATGAAATGATTATTGAATCATTGCAGCATTGAATTATCCTGCATTGAGTTATCCTGCAGCAGGTTGGCCACAGCGAGTTGTCCCAGGTCCACCTGTGATAAGTGAATGATAGTTATTTGCAATGGCAAGAGTGATTGGGATCCGTGGTACTGCAAAATTTGAAAAGCTTCAGGTTCCTCATTTCTGCAAACCAATGCTGAGTCAACCAGTATCAAGCACAGAGGGTAGGTTTTGCCCTCAATATAACTGTATCAAAGTATCAAGGTAGGATCCACAATACTATTTCTTTTAATTTTCTGCTATGTTTCCTAAACAAAATTGCAGCATGTGTTAATTAATATAATACAGTACAATACCCACATAGCTTTTATTATAATCAAGTACCACCTATAACTTATAGTGTAATTGCAGGGTGAGGAAGAATTTCAAAACCCACATGCATTTTACAATCTATTTTTACAGCATGAGTGCTGCCATATGTCATGATACAACTCTGAAATAAAGAGAGGTCACATAGCTATCCCAGGTTTCTTTCAGGGAAGATCTGTATGCAGAGTTATGCAGTGGAAATGGAAACTTTAAAGATTGTTTAGGAATGCAACTTGTTATATGGAAAAATGAAAAAGTCATCTCAATGAAAAATAAATAATTAAGAATTTCTTGCCTTCTAATCCACTTCTGGTCAAAAGAGAAAAATGGAAACAATATTAAAAAATGCATTAGTATCAGAGAAAAGTTAAAATGCTGTAAGCATGTGAAATATAAAAACAGAAATCAGCAGCACCATAGCTGAACAAATATGAAAACACATTATAAAAGTAGTATAAGAAAAAAATACTGACAGTGCTAAGGGAAAAGTGATATTTGAAAAAAAATATTTGGTAACTTCAGCTGCAGAGAACATAGTCTGCTTCTACCCTATGGATAAGATCACGATGCAATTTCTTGGTCATGACAAGACATTGGAACTAGTTTCCTGCAGAGAAACTAGAACCTGCAACAAAATATTGCAAAAGGGAATGTTGCTATTTAGGATTCTAGCAATGCCACTCTCTTTTCACTTTCTTAACTAACAGCCATGAACTCTACCTCGAAGTATCCTCGGTCTTCATTTCTTGGAGATTTGCTTTTTGAACTTTAGGAGGGTTTTAAAGAGTTGGATTTTTTGGGATGTGTGTCAAAGCCTTTAGTAACTATAGTTTTTGCTCTAGAAACAGCAACATAGGTGGACAACATATTGGAAATAAAATGAATGACATGGTCCAACTTTATTGATACCCACAAGAAATCTGAATAGACAATCTATTGTATTAAAAACATTGCTGTCCTTTATTTTTATGAACTACTCTAGCAAAAGATGTAAATTGCAAATTTAATCACATTTACTAACATCTCTTCAGAGCAAACATTTAAAATAATTTCCCCCTCATTATACAGAATAACAGAGTTGAAAGGGATCTTGGAGGTCTTCTAGTTCAATCCTCTGTTTGAGTAGATGACCTATTCAATCTATCCAATCTCTTCTTAAATCCTCCAGTGATGCACCATCCACAACTTCTGGAGGCAAGCCTTTCCACTGATTAATTTTTGTTAATTTTTTCTTTAATTCTAGGTTGGATCAATACTTGATAAGCTTCCATCTGTTACTTCTTGTCCTGCCCTCAGAATAGGTCAACCCCACTCTTCTCTATGACTAACCCCCAAATATTGGAAGTCTGTTATTATGTCACTCAGTCCTTCTCTTTGTTAGACTAGACATACCAAGTTCCTGCAATCATTCTTCATATGCTTTAGCCTTTAGCCCTTTGTACATTGAGTACATTGAACATTGAGTACATTGAGTACAAGTACTACATTTGTACTTGTTCATGGAACAATTGGTTTTTATTACTCTTTTACTATTGAGTCATAGATCCCAGATCTTCAGAAACCAAGCTCTGTTCTCCAAAATTCATCCAATTTTCTATTCCTACGGTTGCTTTATATATTTATCTTGGCTTTAAAAATTCCTTCTATGATAGATGCATTCTTTAAATATGCAAGAAATTAGAAACATTGGCAATTGCTTTTAAAAATTAATTACTCCACTTTTTAGAAAATGCTTCTTACCTCCTTTAATCTGGAGTTTAAATTAAAATATTAAAATATTCAATAGTGCCTCTTGGCACTAGCGCAATAACAAAAGTATCAGACTACAAAGAGGAAAACATGAGTTCTAGTTTTTCTTTAGATTCAAAGCCAGTGACTTTGAGCCAGTTCTTTTCTCTTGACCTAGAAATAAGGAAATGCAACTTCCAAAAGTACTGTCAAGAAAAGTGCAGGAGTCAAGACTGACTTGAAGGGACAACTTACCTTTCCTATCTGGAATAAAAGGCACAGGATCCTGGCAACATCTCTCTCTCCACCGAAAAGGAAAACCCCCACACCGGTATGTCATTTAGAAATGTCGAACACACCGGCCAAAGCACATTCTCTACCGAGGATTGTCATTCCGCATCATCGTTTGACAAAGTACCACACAAGGCTACATAATTTTGTTTAACAGAGGAGAGGGTATTTCGCTTACTCTTCACTCCAGCTCCTGGCAGATTTTCGTTCACGCAATCAGCCCCGTATTAGAAGCACAGCTGCTTTGCTTGTTGCCCCTTACACAAATCGCGGGTGGCTAAGTCTCTACGGCTGCTAACGAAGCATTCCCTTTCTCGGCTCCCGAGTGGTAATTCAGGAGGAAAACCCCTGTTCCGGGAGTCAACGCAGATATGTAGCTCAGACTACAGCAGGTGAAACCTCGGCAGGGTAAAATCAAGACTCGCCGATAATAAATGGGCGGAGTTAAGGAGTACCACCACCAGCTGATTGGTGCTCTTAGTAAGAAACCGGGCGGGCCTTCTCTGGAAGTCTCTTAGTCACTAGCATCAGATTAGTTCGCGAAGAAATAGGAAAGGTGGTGGTGATTTCTCTATATTCGCGCGGTACGGACGGCATTTTCCATTTCTTAAATCGAGCTGATTCGGACCAGAGCTTCCCTGGAGAATATTTTGGAAAAACTAGGTAGTCGATCTACTGTGTACTGTCCATAGTTACATTTAACAACAGCATCTATACATTGATAAACGGCTTTACCGCGACGGAAAGAACCGAGGGGCTGTTGAATCGAAATTTATTAGGATTAACATCGAGTTGCGCTCGATCCCTGGCGAATTACCTGGACAAGCGCGGAAAAAGCTCTCCGTGGCTTTGTGTCTGTGGAGATTCTCAGTCATCCAGGGTTGTCCCAAAGGTGCTTTTTCTTCAGAGTTGAAGAAGCAGCTTGGATGAAAAACGAAACGTCTTTTTAAAAAAAACACCAGAAAGTCCAGTTGCCTCTTGAAAACGCGCCTTTTTCCATGGCTTTCTTCTTGTCTCAAAGTGGAATTTGGAGGTTCAGTAGTATTTCTCAATCTCAACAATTTCCCGCGCCACGGCTGGGAAATTCAAGGAGTTGAAGTACGTATATCTTAAAGTTGTTGAGATTGAGAAACACTGGGCTAGGTGTTGCCTCTTCGCTGTTGGTTTAACATCTCTGACAACTCGCCATGGGCTGAATTTTAAGCTCCAGGCAAAAACATAATTTGAAGAAGGGCCAGCTTTCCTTAACCCATTTTGATTAAAAAGGCTCTGTTTAATCTATTAATGACTGATTGCATTAATTGGTAGATCTCATGGGACAACTCGAGTCCGTCTTGTTAGGTGACAATAGGTCATTCCCGGCCAAGGCCAAATGAACGCAGAGACTTTAAGATTGAACAACTAGTAATTTAATTTATTTTTTCTATTCGAATCTGCCCAATAATCCTTGGTACTTACTGTACGCATCGCAAATTCAGTAGGTACGAGGGTTGATCAGGAATGGGATGCGTCTATGCCGCCCATGCTTCTATTCTTCCTCGGAGAGAAGTGGCAGCGTAATGTAGACTTGGCTTAGCAAACAGCCTGTCTTTCACCAGTGTTCCTCAAACTCAACAACTCTAAGATGCGTGGACTGCAACACCCAGAATTCCCTAGACGGCTGGGGAATTCTGGGAGTTGAAGTCCACACATCTTAAAATTGTCAACTTAAAAAAACATTGAGAACTATAGCTCCAAGATCTGATAGCACCAAAGACCCGTCACTGTAACCAACGCATATTGCCCTTCATCCAGAGGGTTGCAGTGATTTAAAATGATAATAATAAAGATCGCATCCCCTGGAAACCTGCAAATTAAGCAAGCTGTTTTCCCACACTTAGCTGGTAAACATAAATGAAACTGTTCCTCTTTAAACCGTAAAATAATCTCTCTTTCCGCCTCTTAGGCAGATTAATCAGGGTTCGTTCTAGGAATCCGTCCACTAAACTCGTTGGTAAGGCTGATGAAGTGTTTCAAGATGGCTGCACCAAGGGAGGAAGTGTGACTTTTTAGTTTCCACGCGGTATATATTAAAATTCGGTGAGTTTTACAGAGAGTTTAAATACATACAGGAATTACTTTCAGCTTTCTTAAAGACAGACTGAAGTAAACGTGGTGGGCTTTTATTTTGGTAGTATGTTTAAATTCAATTCTTTTTATTACACAACCGTTGCGGTACCGTGACAATATTTGTAATCCGTTTTGATGTTTTATTAATAAAGTTTTAAGTTTAGGGATAATGCTACATACAAGTTCAGAAAGAGGCTCGAGTTCGAGCAGTTTTACTTTCATGTAAATAAACACCGAATTGAGATTAAAATTTAGTTTTCAATCCACAGTCGGTGAATTAAAGCTTGGTCAGTCATGCTGGGATTTCTAAAATAAACTGAAGTGCATTTCAAGAAACAACAAAAAAAAAATAAGTGTGATTTAACATTTAAAAAATTCTAATTATTGCTGTGTTCACTTAAGCTCTAGCTTCTTCATCTTTCCTTCAGGCCTGAGAAGATATAACAAAGAAATTACGTGCTTCATTGTGTTTCTAATAGTTAAGTCTGATAATAAAGTTAGCAAAAATAAGGTTGCATTTAGAGTATTACAAATTCAAGTATGTTTAAATAGTTATACAGTGCAAATATATGGGGGGGGGGACAGATTTTTGTCAGCTTTTCCTATGTGCCAAGAATTGTAGACAGAAATTCTTCTGATTCTCTTACATCAGTGCTTTTAGTGAAGTCAGAAGACAACCTTTGTATGATGGTATTATTAGGTGAATGTCAGGGTGAATAGAATAGAAGGGATAGTGGTAGGGATAGGATTCTTTATTGGCCAAGTATGATTGGACACACAAGGAATTTGGTGCATATGCTCTCAGTGTACATAAAAAGACAAGATACATTCGTCAAGAATCATAGGTACAACACTTAATAATAATCATAGGGTACAAATAAGTAATCAAATCATATTAGGTAACTCAATATAAATCGTAAGGATACAAGTAACAAAGTTACAGTCATTCAATCATAAGTGGGAGAGGATGGGTGATAGGAACAATGAGAAGACTAATAGTAATAGTAATGCAGACTTAGTGAATAGTTTGACAGAGTTGAAGGAATTATTTGTTTAGCAGAGTGATGGCATTCGGGGAAAAATTTTTGTGTCTAGTTGTTCTGGTGTGCAGTGCTCTATAGCGTCGTTTTGAGGGTAGGAGTTGAAACAAATTATGTGCAGGATGTGAGGGGTCTATAAATATTTTCACGGACCTCTTTTTGACTTGTGCAGTATACAGGTCCTCAATGGAAGGCAGGTTGGTAGTAATTGTTTTTTCTGCACTTCTAATTATCCTCTGAAGTCTGTGTCTGTCTTGTTGGGTTGCAGAACCAAACCAGACAGTTATAGAGGTGCGTGTCAGGGATTTGATATCTAATTATAACATTTTGTGATATCATTGCAATTATATTGCCATTTTGGCAATCATGGCTTGTTATGGATACTGCTAGATTTCTGGCTTACCCCATAACAGGCAACAAGTTTATATCCCACCAGGAGAAATGGCTCAACAAGCATGATAGCTCTGTTTGTGATTATGTAGGTTAGTAGCTATAGTCTACATCAAAAAGCAACTTTGGTGTGTGGTCTTGCTAAAAGCAGCAAGCCAGAGTTCCTAGTTCTCTAGAATGATAGATGCACTATAGAACATTGATAAAACAGATTGTTTGAGCTATTTTTGAAGATGTATGGAGAGCGTACTTGTCACTGCTATGAAAACTGCTTATTCCCAAAACCCCAACAATATGGCCAGAGATAGATAGATAGATCTATATATATACATACATATATGTACCAGAAAGTCAATTAACTCCCATGATAATGTTTGCCATTTAAGGGAGAGCTTTGTAAAGTCAAAGATTGTGTTGCAGATAAACACATTTCAGCATGATGCTTTGCTTTGCTGTGTGCTATCTTATTTTATTTTTTTTTAAAAATAAAGGCAAGTAAAGCCAGATTCATAATGCTTAGTCTTATTTATATAGAATTGTCTACATCTGTTTAACTACTTCCATTGGCAGGAGAAGTTATGGAAAAGTGAATTGAGCTCTACTAACTTGCCACTTGTTCTATACTAGAAATAATTCATTGCAGTCTATGCCTATTAATGTAGACTAATAGGTAGATATTTTAGAATTTGGTTAAAGGATGGTTGAAATTTGCACTGCAGTTTGCATAAGGTTAAGCTGGATGGAATTTTGGCAGAACAGAATCCAGAGGATTTCTATGGAAGAGAAAGAAAGAAAAGCTGCTTAAATTTACCAAGATGAAATTTATTGTGAATATGAACACCAGTCTTACTGAATAGCTTAATAGTATCAATATGATGGGAGTGGCAGTTGTTTGGCCCTGAAATTGCTCTCTCTCTGTCTCTCTCTCCCTCTCCCTCTCTCTCTCTCTTCCCCCCTCCCTCCACACACACACACACACAGACACAGTTTTCTTACCAGCCATGTATACACTCTGCTTATGTATACTTCTCCTTATGCAGTCAAATAATGCTGTCCTAGCAACCCAATGACTTTCAATACATGGAGAATGGTAGGGAGGCGAGAATGAATACTCCCTCTATTACTCTGATATCTCTATGCAACCTAAACTGTTCTGGAATAAAAGATAAAATTTCATTTTCCTGTTGTTGTCTCTTCAGATTTACTTTTAGTGCAATCCTTGCTTTTACTATCAATTTTTTAAAATCCTTTGTAAAGGGTTGGTAAATATTGAATCCTTGGCCTAAGAACAACAAAATCTGCTTTTAATGCAAGCTGTTTTGTTGGAGCTAACTAGAATTACAGGAAACAATTCTTTTTATGGATTACAGAAGTATGGCTTGATAAATTGAATGTAGATAAGATCTAAAATCTGAAACAAAATGTATAGGCTAAAAGATAGATAAGGGACAAAATTAAATCTGTATTATTTATTCCTTGTTCTACAGACTATGGAGATAATACGGAAAATACTGTTTTACATTACATTATATCTCATAAAGCTGTACCGTGCTTTAGATTTGAAGGCAGAAAAGTATTTCAGAGCATGAAAATGTGAATGTGCAATTCTTGAATCCATACAAATATTTTCCTGGAGTTGGTTGATAACTGCAGAGGACAACCACTGTAAGCATTTCTTCCAATAAAGCTAGCAGAAATGCTTACATTGACAAAAACTATCCTCTGAACATCCAAAACGATGCCTAGCTCATTGGCATATAATATGTCCACATGTTTAGATGTTCAGTCCCATTCATCTGCAGTGGAAGGGATGAGTTATAAAGATATTTTGTAGGGACATTTATCATATTTTTGTAATTCCTAACTATGTAGATTAAAACATGCTTGATATTGGTAGAAGGTTTATCACTTAGATTTTCTGTCTTTGTTTTTTCCTTTTTTCTTTTCTTTTTTGCTTGAAGAGTTTCTTCACTTTCAAAGTATCTTGTTGGAGATTTAAAAAAAACCTGTTAGAATTGTGAATGACTGAAGCACCTATTTTAAATTTGGCCTTGGCATGAGGATCTCTATCTGCTGTTAAGTAAAGTTGCTCTGTCATTTACAAGGCAGAAAACTACAACAGGTCCTCATTTTTACATCACATCATATTCCAAAAGCTGTGTGAAAAACAATCTTGTTAATACAGGTGATGCTTTGATAGGACACAATCTGGAG